AATGGCAAAACTCACTGATGATGCCAACTATGATGCCGGCGAAACGTTTGAGAATGTACCAAGTCCACTGCCTGATGCTGGAAATCATGACAACTATTATGGCAGACGACTTCAGACTAGTGCGTTCTACTAAGTCTCCCTGAAAACAAGACCAAGTTGCGACAACGAGGTCAACCTATTTCGATAAGCATTCCTCTTCATCAAAATGATTATTAGAATGTACTATAAAATAAAGGATTATAACTCAAATACGTCTTCTATGAAAATAAGAATCTTATTTCGCTTAAAGCTGGCTTTTGGCACCTTAAGGGCTGACAAGAATTACGCTTCCGCGATATTATTTTCATGTCCCAAAGTTCCGAAATAAACCAACAAAAAAATATTGGGGGAGAAATTTTCATAGTTCCGAAAAATAAAATCTGGCATCGACAGATATCCACTGCTTCAGGACAAGCATTTCAAATAATTTCAATGGTTGGTGCAATGCTAGTTCAAATAAATTAATGGAATACACCGAATGAAAGAATGTAAAATCTCAGTTAATAATTTTGCTAAGGGAGGACTGAAAAAAACAATACTTAAATTCTGCTGAAAATAACCTTTTTGGTTAAAAACAAATCCTTTTAATTTTTAAAATATTGGGTTGTGTTCAGTAAGACTACCTCCCAACACTCCTGTTACGGCTATTCAGCGAGCAAAAGTCACCATAGTACTCTGAGTTCCAGCCCGAGAGCACTAGTGATGGCATGCTCCAACTGGAACTTTCTACTAGCTTCTACTGACAGAAGCTGAGCTGAGTGTCTAATGCAAGGAGTGAAAATGTACTTTCTTAGTAGTCTCATTTCAAATAGAGAATGAAGCAGTATGGTTTATTGTATTGCATTAACTAGGAAAATAAAACTGGAAATTTTATAGAGCTTGCGGACTTGCAGGCGGCTTCAAAGAAGATAGCATATCTCATCCTTATTTGGTTGCAGTGTTTTACAGATTATTATGTAAAAGAAGTGTTAAAAACTCGCCTGATACAGAATATATGCATCAGCCTCCTGGCAGATTATAGATAGCATCTTGAAACCAGCCCCGGGAGAGCACACTAACGCGACTTTAAGGTTGCCTCCCAAAGTAAGGGTTTGACGCAATTCTATACATAGAGGCAGAGAAAGCAAGCAAAAATAACCCAACTTGATGCTAACACATTAATCAATTACTATCAAATAAATAAGTGATAAAGGAGAGTGAGGTTTGCGTTAGGGAAGTATTTAAATTGGAGCATACTTATCAAACCTGTAACTGTAATTTAACAAAGTTGGGTGCAGCGAGGACAAACAATGTGAAATGAAAGTTATGTATTTTGGACATTTGGAGCCTGACAATATAGGCAGTACCATAATGCTTTCTGTGGGATCTACTTTTCTAGGCATAACCATGGCTTTAATATGTATTTTGGTAGTGTGAAACTATGTACCGAGAAAGGTAGCTGATGCACATAGTAGCAACAGAGATGCCAGGTTTCGCAAAATGTTTAAGACGACAAACTTTTATTATCCACGATGAATAGAAATAGGGATAGATGCGTCAGCACCGTGGGCAAATACTTAAATGTCCAGCCTTTGCAACCAACAGATCGCTAATGTTATTTCGATGGTAACATGGAGGCGAATGTAGGTTACTCTGTTCACCCAAGGCTGAATATTTGAAATGCCAACGATTACATAAAGGGAAGGCTTCCTCGTGCTATGAAATTAGCCTTAATTCGAGTGTTTAGAGGAGTTCCCAGTTTATTTTGGTCTATCCAACACCCATAACGAAATAAGAAGCAAATTCAATGATGTTATGGCACCAAGTGCACACCCTATTGAGACATGGAGAAGCCGGGTCCTGAAGAATCCCTTAGGAAGACATTTCATTTGGTTTAAAAAGGCTGGTGGAAGGGATTCGTGGATTCGCAACACCGGATACCAAAGAAAGAATGTCTTGGACTTGCGAATGTTGGATTGTGCAAAGAAAACCTCAGCGTTCAACCCACTTTTCTAAACAAAATAAAAGCTATGTCAACACGCCATTTTCTTGACTTGATGTTTTTTTCGTAAAGTATGCTTCCCGGCTCTGGCGATGTCTGTCACATGACAAACAGGTTTATTGAGATCGCAGGACAGTAAGATGATGAATCCTTCGCACAATCCAACAGCCCTCACTCAATCCTCCTTTGATTTCCAATTAAACCAATTCAAAGATTCCTTCCAACCAACATTTCGTTGGAATGCAAATGTCGAATCACACCAAAATTTCAGGTCGAACACAGTTTAGAACTGGACTGTGTCTCAGCAGCACCCCAACTAGGTTTGACCGTGGGAGATGCAAAATCGCTGAGGCTTAATGTTGGCGGGTGCGTCTTTACCTCTTTGCCAGCGTTTGATATATTAAAATACGAGATAAGCTTGATACTCGGGTCCACTTTTGAGTGCTAATGCACTCTGATAAAATAATGTCTTCTCTTCATCATTGGTAGGCATAAATTGTTGGTTGCTGCAACATCAAGTACATTATTTTTCGTATATAAGTAGAGTTTCGAGACTACCAGTAAATTAGTAATATGAGATGTATTCACCCTATTTCATTCAAGGCGATGAAGGACTGGGTGGTGAATTTTCCCGCAATGATATAAGTTGAGCTGACGTTTCCTTTGAATTTCATATAGCCTTGCTTTCCCAAAAGTTGTTCTCGTCCAGAGTGGACTGCAGTTTTGACTTTGCCTAGGTTCTATCAGCACTCCCAGCCGGAGTCATTGTGGGAAAATTCTATTACCAGTAATAGTATGACCAAAGGAGAGCCAATGACAATTTAAAATACAAAGAGCCGGATAATCGAATTCTTATTTTCGTAAAGTTTTGGCCTCCTTTGAAGCAAAATTTCCGTAGGTTCTAAACAAAGTTAAAAATAATTTTTATATGACAGGAAAATGTATCACAGATCTGCATCACCTTGATGCAAATTCAGTGCTTTTGTGAAGCTTGTTTCTAACAGAGGTAAATCAAGGACAGAAGCCATTATTCGAAGTCGGTGGTTCGGTGAGTCTGAAAATGCAGTCTCGAAAAGTCGATCCGGAAGAGCACACAAACAGGCGGGTTCCGGTTCACTATTGGTTGAATCAGTCATAGGACCCCAGACGGAGGGGCTCAGGCCCTTTAGCTCCACGGACTTAAGCAAACTTGGCGTGCAACCAAAGAATATTCGACCTAAGTCACTAGATTAAAATGGGAATAATGCAAAAGAAGCAAAGGGTGATAAATTAAACAGATGGGTTATAGGGTAGGGGCGTAGGAAATAAGGATAAGGGGATAAAGAAAATTAGGAAATAAGATGATTAACTAAACAGATTATTTTGCTCTAAATACCAGGACAGCAGGCATGCAAAAAAGGCTTTGAAAATGGATAAATTAAAAAGTGTTTGTTTTTACGATTTGGCCAACTACCTGGTAGGAGACGGCCTGTAGAAAGGCTGATTTACCACACCCATCAGCGGAAGTCCCGAGTCGATCAAGAAGACACCGATTAGAATTGTGACATTTAAAAGGCTGCCGGGCAGCTCAGCCGCCTGGAAAGCCGAATATATGGCTCGGGAACTGAAGCTCGAAGCTTTCTCAATAGTAGCATCGCAGTCGGCCAGAAGACAGCATGGCTTAGGCTGCTCTCCAAAAACATATTCCCCGGTAGAATCTGAGGTGGGTGAAAAGCAGAACAATGCAGAGCAAAGGCAAGTAGAGTGGCCGCCAATGAGGTCAGAAATATCGGCATTTCTAACAATGCACAGGCGCTGAGCAACCTCTCTTGTTAATATCGATGCTGAAAGCAATGAAGAACTCAAAAAAGTATTGTAATCATCTTAGAGAAACCAATTCTTGCATGTAAAAAGTTTTCTGTCAGGTTCTTGTGGGCATCTTATGCTACCATACTAATATATTGTCATAACACTTGTTCCCTTGTTTTCCTCATTAGTTTATCTAAATCTGGCGGAGTTCAAGTAGCAAAACGTATTAGCAAACGAATTTTTGCAGTTGTCGACAATGCGGATCCTGGTTCATGAAGAGGGCTCCGCGTCACGAAGTCTTTAAAAATGTGAAATGTATAATGGTGAAATCCTATGAAAAAGACCATTTTGAAAAGAAAAAGTCAAAGTGCGTGTTCGACCTCGTTTTCTCAACTTGATCGAGGCGTCAGGGAGGTCGAACTAACACTACCAAAATAAAGGACACTGTGACCAAACATGGTCTTCATATCTACGATCTAAAAATTTACATTTTAATTTGAAAAAAATAGGGAGGAAGATGTTTTGTTAAAGTAATGCAATAGAATTATACTCATCAGGAACAAAAGGCCTAGAAAATGAAAAATAAGATGTGAAATTGCCCCGAGGATGACAAATTTGTGTATAAAACATAATATAAATAGACCCATATTACAGAGTTTATTTTTGTACCACGTCCACGGTCCTACTTTGGAAAGGATGATGCATACAATGAACTCCGGACAAGGTGCGTTCCTTTAAGTCTTCCTACCATTATGGCAAAGTTGCGTAAACAAAGTCAAACAACTTCTATTTTTGAATCCCTAAAATTTTCACGATGCTAATTCAGGATTGGTTAGTAAATTTTACCACAGTGAGATGAGCAGACTCCATAATGCCAATCAAGTTTACTCAGCCTTGTCTCCCAAAAGGCTATCTTATCCCGGCTCGACTGGACTGTGCAGGAGTTTTGACCTCACCTAGGCCTTATCGCCAACCCCTATGTGAAGTATATTACAACCATATAGAGTTGTCTTGACCTCGTTTTCGCAACTAGCCCGGAGCAAAAGGAAGACCTTCTGGAGCATATCAAGTCTTGTTTCCTCAGCAAGATTACTCAAGATGACTCCTAATATTTGAATATCGACTTGGCACATCACCAGATATTTCAAGACATAATAGTCGGCATAACCCATGACCAAAATCTAGGGATTATAGAGAGCTCATTAAATGAGATAAAGGCAAGAATATCTACTGAGACACAAGGCTATATAAACTCAATGGAAAAGTGTGGGCAAATTCAAATATCAGTCTTTCATCGCAGTAAAATTAATAGGGTAAATACAGTTCTTATTCAAGATATACTGGTAATCTGAAAAGCTTTGTTAAAAACGGAAATAAATAAGATAGTGATCTTCAAGTGAGATAAATAATA